AAGCAAATATAAATTATTTCAGCTTGGGTTGTTATCTCTTGCGCTCTTCATCTCTCTCGCTCTCTCACTCGATGTACCTCTCCGACATACATATATGTATATAGCTAATCGAACGAGTTCAAAAAACCCTATATGGCATGTCAATCGGCTGGCGTTACCTAGGCGCAAAAAACACTTTCGATAACGATAACCCCATTCGAACCGCACTCTCGTGTGCCGATTCACTAGGCTATACTAAGCCCACGTACTATCTCTATCTACAGTTCTTGCTCTTCTTCTTCTTGCTCTTCTTCTTGTATGGGGAAGGTACGTCAATGCTAACTAGAAATTCATTCATTGCTCTAATCAGGCACAGCTTTATATATATATATATATATATATATATATATATATATATATATATATATATATATATATATATATATATATATACACATATAGTTTATATATGTATATTATTTTCATATTGTTGTAGTTAGCACAGATAAGCCTAGAAAATTGGGTCGCAGTTGCTATAAAGCAGTTAGACATATACTTCTATATATATTTTATTTTGCTTAAACATTTGGCGTCGTTAATAAATGTTTTTTTCTTCTTTTTGTTCATTCTGCAAGCAGAAATGTGTTTAGGCTGACCTCAAAACAAGAAACAACAGCAAAAACAACAACAAGAACAACAAAAAGACAACTCGAGCATGTCGCTTGTTGTTAATTTTGTTTACGCGCTGCCAGTGGCGACAGGTGCGTTTTATATATGTATGTAGACACATATATATTTATTCATATACATATATGTATGTACATGATCGTATATAGTATTTATATATATAAAGTATTTCCATGCCGATGGCGGCATTTTGTCAAGTTTTAGCGGCCAACAATTCTTTTGAAGATGTCATTTTAAAAGCTTGCTCACGCGGCCCCCACCCAGCCGGCGTCGCCCTTTTGCTTTAGAGCCAATTATGTGCGCTATTATGGCCAAATTCTCATGTCACTCAATGCATCAAATACTCTCACAAATTAGCGGTGTCTGTAACCAACACACACACACGCACACGTGCACATATAGATCTTATATCGTATAGACGTACATATATTTTTACTTTTACTTGATTTCTCTATTAGTGCTCTTGTCGCACTTCTGTCTCTGTCTTTTGAATTTGGCGCCCACCTACGTTGCGTTATAATTATAGCAAAAGGCTACTGTCGCCTGCAATTAGCGTTGCCGGACCTGCTGGACGCTCGCTAGCTCTCGCTTTCCTTCTCTTCCTCTCTGTCTAACTCTGTCAACTTCGTTTAGCTTGATTTGTGCTTTGAAGCTGCTGTGTGGGGTCTACTGCGCGGCATACAATTTCCGGCTAGATTTCGCTTTTTCAGCTTCGTCTACAAGAACCTGATGCTTGGCTTAATAACAAGCCAACACAAGCGATAACCAATGGGCGCTGTAAATAAGTGCATATATATTATGTATGTATGAGTGAGAGCGTGTGCTTGCTTATTAATGAGCAACGCTTGTGTATCAATGACATCATTGCTGAGACACTCAGAAGGCTTAAGGTACACACGCTCTTAATTGGCTGTGCCATGAGGCATGGCAATTCCGTAGAAATTAATTAGACAGTTTCAAAAAAAGAAATATACACATATGTATTCATATACATATGTATATACATCAATATGTACATGTATATAAGCATGTGTGCTTTAATGTGTAGCAAGCAGCTTTTGTTTTCAATCGAATTTGAAGCGCTTATACGAGGTTCGTCAAAGTAAAAATGAGACAGAGCGAGTGTAAGAGAGAGCTTATAAATAGACGCACGTGTGCGTAGCTTATCGTAAAGCGCAAAGGTTACAAAATGGTTAATAAGTCTCTTTTACTCTGTAGAGCGTACGTATTTGTGTATGTATGTATTATTTTTCTTTTTCAACGAATCAATTTCCAAAGTCCGCCGCCTACCACTTGAGTCAACAGAGTTGTTGTTCCACTCAGTGCCAGGGCATCTTTGTGTGGCCATTATTAACGAAAGGTAGCTACAATTGGTATTTCCGTTCGCAGCGCATGACGAACACTGATGATAATAATAATAGCAGCAGAGAAAAAAAGTGCATAAGAGTCGCTCTGACGCATGCAACAACGCTGTCCGCTTACCTTTTGTAAAACTGTACGGCACACTGTGCGGCTGCCATTTTGGTTTACATTTAATTGATAACAATAGGAATAACAACAGCGTTTGTGCGACAACAAAGCGTGTTAATAATGTCCACACTGTACTTAAGCAGAGGTGGGCGTATTTACTCTTTGCTCTTTCCTCACATTGCTGCGGCTTACGTACACACACACACATACACATATACATATGTATGTACATACTTACGCGCACGCTCGTAAAGGTGGATAGACAAAGAAAGCGATAGCGTAACTTCATGCCGCGAGTAGGAGATAGCTAACAGCGATAACGTGTTTGGCTCTGTGAGTGTGTGAGCGCAACAGGTAGCCGTAGCCAGAACCGTAGCCACCATGTTGAGCAGCATGTTAAAACTCGTTCGTTTAGTTTGCTTTTGTTTTGTTTTCTTTTCTCCATACATTCGTGTGCTCGCTCTCGCTTCGGCAAATGGCGTCTGCTCAGAGTGCTGTGACGTCAGCATACAAATCTTTAATAGTCTTTGTAGAACAGGTAAAACAACATGATTTAGCTCCACCCCGACCCCTTCCACACCACTCATAACCAGCGGAAGCGGAAATTTATGTTGCTTGTGCGGCTCTTCCGCTCCATCAGCCGACGCCAGCCGGCGCTCGCTCACATTTCACTCAAAGCGAAAATCAAATTGTAGTTTAAAGATTTTCACTTTGGAAAAACAAAACAAATGTTGATGTTTTTGTTTTTTAATGTGCCAACGGCTGTTAAACAAACAAATTAGGCCTGAAACTGGCCACGCGTAATTATTGGGCGTATTTCAGTGTTTTTCTTTCCACTTGCTATACAAATAAACACAATGTCTCCGTTAATGTACAAACTAATTAGGCCGGAGAGCAACTATTAGTTAAGGCTATTTTACTGACCCTGATCTGCTACCGTATCCCTCTCCATAGGATTGTGATCTCATGTCAAGAGCTCATTTATAAATTGGCTTTGTGTTGAAATTATGACTAATAACTGGTCACACTAAAACTTGCACATATGTATACACCCAAGCACACAGATATGAGCACATTGGTCTGTTAATTGAAATTCATGCAAAGCTGCTGCTGAGTAACCTATCAAAGTCCGAACCACACAGCACACGCGTTCTCTTAATTTGCAAGGACAGAGCGAGAGCGCGCGTCATGCAAGTCATGGCTCGGCCAAAGACAAAGAGAGTCACAATTACAATGACCGTTACATGTACATATGTATGTATATATGTATGTATGTATGTTTGCAGACAGATTTGATGGCGTATTGAGCAGACATATTCCGAATTAATGGCTGATAAAAAAGTGCTGCAGCCGCACCAACGACAATGTCATGAACTTTACAACAATAACAATCTGGCATGTTATTTTCTATATGTATTTATTTATAAAGAGCAACAAATAGCTGAGGTGAGCTGCACTGAAACAGCAGCAGGAAAGTTCAACGGCTGCACGTAAACAACCGATGCCATTCAGAGAGAGGTGGGGCGATGGCACGGTGCAACACGTGTTGCCATATGTTGGCCGAGTGAAAGTGCCGCAAATCTTTCAGCGCGCTGGCTAAGTGGAGCCGAGCCGCCTGTCAGTCAGGCGGCTTGTGCTTTCATTTCATTGTGCACCTTTAACAACGGCGGCAAAAGCAACAAAGTTGCATTTGATGCGTTCAATTTGTTGCCAAACAAATCAAAGACAAACAAACGCATTCGGGTGTGATTAGCATCAGCTGCTGAAACGATGCTGATACGATACGATGTGATTTCATTTGATTTGATTTGTCTAGGGCCTTAATTCAATTTTTCCGTTCGACTTTTTGTTTATTTCTTCACTTGCCGGCGTTTGTTTTTGTTTATGTTTCCATTCCTTATTGGCGCTTTGTCGCAATATCTTCCATTGAAGTTTTATTTTATTATTTTCAATTACTGTTCATCATACCAAACGTGTCGTGCACTCAGCACCCGCGCCACACGCACACAATCGGTTACTTTTTTATGTATTGCTTTTTTTTTGCTTATCTTCTCTGCTTTGCCTACGCTTTCATAATCTATGCACACATGCGTACGCGTCTCTATGACTGTGACAGCTGTAAGCTGGCTGCTACGCCACTTCGCTTGCCGCAATCCTTTTCTACTTATTTCTTCAGTCTGCTTTCGTCGGTTGTCGTTATAATTTCGTCATTTGCATAGCCCGCATATTGTTTGGTTTTAATTAAGTTTCGTTCTTATTATTTTGTTGTTGTCAATTTTGCGTTTAGTTCATTTAATCAGCTAAACTCTTTTAATCTGCTTGCCAAACACAACAGCGCCACAAAAAAGTCACAATTTTTTGTTTCAATTTTGTTTTGTTTTTTGCGTTGTGGTTTTTGGTTTTACTTTGCGGGCCTTGATACAAACGAAATCCCGTTAAATTTCAAATAGCACAGCAAAACAAATAAATACGCGCGTTTTGTTGTTTTAAACAACTTTTATTACCTGCGCGTCGGTGTGTACGTTCGCTCTGCATACATGTGTGTGCGTGCCAGTCTCAGAATAAAAATAAGACGCAACAATAACTACCAAAGCACCAACAACAACAATGTCAACATGCACACTCAATGTAATACTAGGGGATCACCATCAAAAACAAGTAAGAGCAAATGAGAGCGATAGAGTGCAAGCAGCTGGACGGACAAAAGCTGCACTGTATACCGTTGCATTTGTGTCTTATTTGAAATGGAAATAAAATATTTGATTATTGATTTGCATTAGTATATAATTTGAATATATATTTAATTAATTATTTTTATAAAAATATGTATATCTAATATACTTTACTCGCTCTACTCATTGCAGACCTGCAAAATATGCCACAAGGCCTTCGCGAACGTGTACCGTCTCCAGCGTCATATGATCAGCCACGATGAATCCGCGCTGCTGCGTAAATTCAAGTGCAACCAGTGCGACAAGGCCTTCAAGTTCAAGCACCACCTGAAAGAGCATGTGCGCATCCATTCCGGCGAGAAGCCCTTCGGCTGTGACAACTGCGGCAAACGCTTCTCGCACTCGGGCAGCTTCTCCTCTCACATGACCTCCAAGAAGTGCATTAGCCTGGGGCTCAAGCTCAACAACAATCGCCAGATGCTCAAAACTCTCGATAAGAACTCAAGCGCTCGACGCTCACCCACGGATCAGCAACAGCAGCAGCAGCAGCAGCTGGCGGGCAAACGGAAGCTAGCACCAGAGCAGGTGCTGCCCAATCCCATGAATTACTTTGCCGGCGAAGTGCAGAACCCACCCACAGCTGTCAATGCTCCTGCGCCGTTCTATCCCAACTATATGAATGCGGCGCTGCTGGCCTTTCCGAATGCCATCATGGCTGCCGCCCTGGATCCCCGCATGCATCCCTATAGCATTCAGCGACTGCTGCAACTGACTGCTGCTGGGCAGCAGCAGCAGCAGCAGCGGGAGGAGCAACTGGAGCAGCAGCTGGAGCAGGAGCACAGAGAGGAACAGAAGCTGTATGAGACCAGAAAGGACGATGATGAGACGCCGGATGAGCCCAAGCTGGTTATGGATTTAGAAGAAGCAGAGCCCAAGCCTTCGGCCAGCCCTGAAGTAGCCGTCGCCGAATCCGCAGCAGTCGACGTCGGTGTCGTCAAGCAGGAGCCCAGTCGCGAGCCGACGCCTCCCGACACGCCCAAGTCCATCAAAGTGGAGCAGGAGGAGGAGCAGGAGGCATTGGCTGTGGTGCAGTCGCGAGCGCAGACTCCTCAGGATCTGCGCTGCAGTCGCTGTGCCAAGCAATTCAATCATCCCACAGAGCTGGTGCAGCACGAGAAGGTGCTGTGCGGTCTGATCAAAGAGGAGCTGGAACAACAGTACCAACAACAACAGCAGCAACAACAACAGCAGCAGCAACAACAGCAACAACAACAGCAGCAACAACAACAGTCGAGCTTTGCTCTGCTGCCCTCGGCCAGCGATGCGGACGAGGATGAGGAGGACGAGGAGGAGCCCCGCCAGGATTACCATGCCGGCAGCAGCGACAGCGGCGAGCGTAAGGTGCGCGTGCGCACCGCCATCAACGAGGAGCAGCAGCAGCAGCTGAAGCAACACTACGCTCACAATGCGCGTCCCAGCCGGGACGAGTTCCGCCTGATTGCCGCCCGCCTGCAGCTGGACGCGCGCGTCGTCCAGGTCTGGTTCCAGAACAATCGCTCGCGCGAACGCAAGCTGCAGAGCTATGCGAACAATGGCGAGACCGCAGCTGCGGCTCCGCAGCCACAAGCGCAGGTGCGCGCTGGCGAGGATCAGCCGCTGGACTTGTCCGTCAAGCGAGACGCTTCGCCGTTGTTCGGCTTGCCGTCATCCCAGCAGGCAGCTGTGCTGCCCGCGCCCGCCGACTTCCAGGAGACGATGGCCATCAATCTGAGCCGCAAGCTCTCCGGCTCGGCGTCCATGTCGCCGACGTCACTGTCGCCCTGCTCGGGCGCCTCTTCGCTGCAACAGTCGGCGGCAGCTGCTGCTGCTGCTGCAGCGCTCTACTTTGCGCCCCCCTCGCCGCCCAGCCACGCCCACGAATTGGCGCCCAGCGCAGCACCGCGTGGCCAGGCCTTCGCCGGCCTGCCGCCATACATGCTGCCACGCCTGCCCATGGAGGCGCTCTTCCAGATGCGTCCTGGCGGCGACTATGCGCCCAATCCGCTCATGAACAGTATTAAGCTGCCCGACTACCGCGGCACCAGCCTCAGTCCCGGCGGCTCCGAGAAGCGTTCGTGGCGCGACGACGACTCGCGCATCTCGCATGACGATGAGTATGGCCTGGCGAGCGGCGGCCTGCTGCCTCCCAAGCCCAAGCGGGCCAAGGCCGAGACGCACGGGCATGCGGGTGATCCGGACCTGCCCTTCGTCTGCGACCAGTGCGACAAGGCGTTCGCCAAGCAGAGCTCCCTGGCGCGCCACAAGTACGAGCATTCCGGTGAGTCAGAACTTGGAGAAGATGTGGTGTAAGCCACTGCAAAAAGCTACGCTATGTTATGCAAAGAGCATACTGTTAACTAACAGAGCTATGTCGTGGCATCACATTTTCAGTTTGTGCTCTGTTATGCGATCTGAAATTTAGCAGCAGGCAGGTAAGCAGCGATCCTGCAAAAGCTCCAAAGCAGTCAAAGCTATGTCTCTGATAGGGAATTCCATTAATATTAATACTTTATTGAGAGTATCCTGAAATTGAAAACTAAGATATAATGAAATGGATAATATAATGAGTGATAGAATGACTAATTCATAGACAGAGTCAAAACAAGCTATAGAAATCTTAGTATATAACAAAGCTATATAAGTGATAGAGGTAATGATTGATGTGAACTGATAGGATAAAATATTAGTCAAATCCCTATAATATCCCATTTCAAAATCTATATATAGCTATATCTGTATATTTCTAGCAATTAGTCGCACTGCACGATTTCATTTGTCTACGGGCTTAAAAATAGATAACAGTGTCAAAGTTGCTTCACCTGACACAGTGACGCCACACTGTTAACTTAACAGACTGCCATGCATAGCCTAATCTTTATTTGTTCGTGGGTGTAAGCGATCGCAGCTAATCTGTATTTCATTTGCAGGTCAACGACCCTACCAGTGCATGGACTGCCCCAAGGCCTTCAAGCACAAGCATCACTTGACGGAGCACAAGCGTCTGCATTCCGGCGAGAAGCCATTTCAGTGCTCCAAGTGCCTGAAGCGCTTCTCCCACTCGGGCAGCTACAGCCAGCACATGAACCACCGTTACTCCTACTGCAAGCCCTACAGGGAATAGGTAAGCGACACCTCAGTGCCGCCCACCTGCGTAGCAGCCGCCGGCAGGCCGCAGCGTCGCGGCCCCGCCGCTCACTCGGCCAGGCTGAACAGCAACAGCAGCCACCACAACCAACATCAGCAGCAGCAGCAGCAGCAGCAGCCACAGCAGCACCTCCACCACAGCAGCAATTATCCCCATCAGTTGGCTGCCATGGCAGCTTTCCAGCAGCAGCAGCATCATCACCACCAGCGGTTGCAGCAGCAGCGTCTGCCCTGTCAGCCGCTTGCCTGGCCACCGTCCGTGCCTGGCGCTGGCGTCATGTTGCCACCACTGTCCAGCAGCAGTAGTATGCAACAACGGGGCACAGGGCCGCCGCAGTTAACTCCACCAGCACCACCACCGCCGCCGCCGCCGCTACTGTCTGGGTCAGGAGCGGCTGCGTACGGTCAAGCACCGCCGGCACAGCCTCCCAGTTTCTTTGCCAGCCCGCTGCACCACGCAGCGTTGATGGCACCACCACACCCGCTGCCCAATGAACGCTTCGCGGCACCACCAACGCCGCCAACGAGCGCACCGTCCCACGGCGGGCATGCCTTCAATTTCTTCAATGCCAAGATGCTGCTCAATTGAGCGGCAATAACAGCCATTTAATATAAGTCTAACAGTGAACTAACAGTGCACTTAAATGCTGTACTTAAAACCGACGCAGAAATCTCAAATTGTGCAGGAACACAAAACACACAAGACACAAAAACTCGAAGCAAAACAAAACAAAGAATTAAAATAATATTAATTATAATATCGGTTATAACGGTTCTATCGGTTATAGCCCCCATATGCAACTGGCAGCCAACTCGGCAGAGCTTTGATGAATTATTTTTTATATATTCTACATTGTAAATCATATACACATGTATATATCGATATTTTATATATTATGTTCGTGTCATTTTTGTTGCCACAAAATGAGTTCGGAAAGAAACTCCCAAAAAGGATCGATGAAGAAGATGAAGAGCTAAAAACCTTTCGTTTGAGCGAATTTATTATTTTTAATTTGATTTTGCATATTGTTTTTAACAAGTATTTTTTAAACAAGTTACACTTAAGTTGAAAACTGTTTTTGTTTCAATTATGAATGAGTATATTTATATCCAAATATATCTATCGATATATATATTTTTATACATTCGAACTATTTACGTTTACGTTTTAGGCTAAAGAGCGAAAAACCAGTACCAAGTGCTGCGAAATACTCAAAGCTTATTTCAATATCAAATCAGGGCCAGCACCCGGATATATCCACTTATCTAATATTATTTTTCATTTATGATATATAGTTTTTATGCTTTACTAACGGAATAAATGTAAAACTTATTCGGTTTAATGTTTTTAGCTTTAAATTTGTAGTCGAGCCGTCGAAATTTTGGACCAAACAAACAACAACAACAAAAACAACAGCAAACGTTAACTTGACAATATTTGAACCAATTAAACTAACAAGAAAAAAATGTTTAAAATAATACAAAAAAAACAAAAACTAAAAACGCCGAGCTAGATGCTCTTCTGCAAAAGTATTAAAACATCAGCCAACTGTATTAATGCCAGAGTTAAAAAATACAAAACTTAATCAAATACGCCACCTACACACACACTTACACACACTCACACAAATGTAACTTATGTTAATGTGAAAACCCACCGCTTGCTGCGCGTTTCAAATTTCTTACTTAAACAAACAAAAAAAAAAAAAAAAAAGAAATTTTATAAAATTTCAGAAAACTTTTTCTAATTTCTTTTTATTTCTCTTGTTTATTTTGTACGAAAGTTATAAATAATAATATTGTATTGCTACATAATAATCGAAGAAGTGAAGCAGAATATATGTCGAAACGAAACACCTATACGATCATTCCATTTAGCTAGAGTTGCGCGATAAGAAGGAACCGCCCCACATGCATTTAAGAACCTTCGGCTACTTGAGCAAAAATATTACAAAATAAATAAATAAAAACATTAAATGAAATAAGAATACTTCATGTTTTGTAAATGTCATATGCTTATCCAAGTGCTATGCGAGTTAGAGCACAAAATACAATTTAAAATTAATATTTAATATATATATATATATATAAAAAGAAAATGCTAAAGCGCAAAAGAAAAACTTAATTTGGCCTTATTAAACATTATTTAACACTAAATTACTTACAAAACTAAAGAAAAAACTATTTCTAAGCTAAAACGTTCATAAGAAACGAAAATATTTAAATTTAGTAAATAAAAATAAAAACAAAAACTTTTGGAAAAGTCTCTAAAGAAAATTATTAGCAAATTTCAATGTGCGTATTGATGTAAAGAAAATCTTTCTCCTAAAACCAAAAAACAAAAAAATACTATTAACATTAACTATTAACAATGTTTACAAGGACAATAAATTTTCTAAATATCTTAGAATGCTTTCAACTTTTCGCTCTAAATAAATTCAATTCAAATAATTTAACCACAAAAAAAAAAAAAAAAAAAACAATAAAATACAATATATAATTAAATAATTATAAACAGGTTTAAATTCATGATAGAAAGCGAAAAAGGTTTCCAGAACAACGAACATTTATTTATTAACATTTATTGTGCTATGTCTAAACAATCCCCAACATAACTAAGTAAAACCCAAAAGTTTCTCTCATCTCTAATCTTGAACTGTTGAAATTTATTTTCTTTTGCTTTTCCAAAAAAAAAAAAAAAAAAAAAAATTCAACAAACGAACACAAAAATATGCATTTATTACTTAATTAATTTTTATATTCGTATTTTTTAAACAAACAAAAAATAATATATATATGTATATTTAAAGATATATATGTATACTTTGTAAATTATTTCGCAAGAAACAAAGCTAGAGAATCCAAATACACAACAAAATGAATGTTTCAACTATGAACAAAATTAAGCACTCGTTTAGCATAAATTATAAATATATATTAAATTAGATTAGTTAAAAAAAAAAAAACAAAGGAAAAACGTACATAAATGTTAACTTACAACAAATGAAACGAATTAATTATATTTAAGCGCAAATATTTTTCATTGTGATGGATGCATGTCGGCGATAATATTTGCAATCTAGGGCCTTATATGAGATACACACACACACGCACACACTATAAACTCTTGTTAGTTATATTTACATTCTAAGTTAAGTTTACATCCCCGAATAACATTTTGTTCGTCTCCTCTGTTAAAGTTGTTCGCCAGAGATTTTCATGTAAATAAGCGTGAGAAGATATGAGATCAGAATAGTTAGGATCGCATACAGCGTAGGTTTCGTACAAAGTATGTGCTTGTATTATTTGTTTTATATTTTAATTTAAACTGAAGAAAGTAAGAAAACATCTATGTTTTAGTTATGCGGGCATCAAATGTTAAATAAAAAAAAAAATAAAATAAAAAATTAAATGCTATACACACAAGTACACAAACGAAGTAAACAACAATTTAAATAACTTATATTTCAAATATATATATATATATATACAAATATATATATACATAATGCATAAATGTATTTTAATCAAAATAAGCCAACGGATAAAACATTTTTGTCTTGATACATTTACAAAATTATTATAATTATTAAATTTACAATGTGAAAAATAAAAACAACAAAACAAATTATTAAAATTTAAATATTTTGCATTTTACTTCATATTTATTTAAATTTCAGCCATGAGAAAAATTAATTTTTTTAAAATATAGTTTTATCCTGCTTTCAGCTTATTGCGGGTTTTATTATATTGATGACTTCTCTAGGATAAGTATCATTGAAGTATATGGACCAAAAAAATATTTGAAACCGATTTTTAAATATTTTTATAATATATCACGCTCTATAAATTTACACCCTAAGATTCCTAGAATATATATAAGATTCTAGAAATCTAAAAACTTTTCTTGCATAAGTCTTTCTCGTGAAATAAGTATAGGGACGAGTTAAAGCTGAAACAGATCGTCAAATATTTTTATAAAGTATGACACGCAGTGGATACGCATCCTGAAGTATGTCTAGGAATTTAGAAAGGTCTAAGTGTCTGACACAAATCGTTCAATCATTATAAGTAGTTTGCTGTTATTTGATCAAGATCTCAGATCGAGAATATGATGTGTGTTATACGTGGCTTGTAGACGACTTTACGCAATAGGTAAGCCACAATTAAGGTGACTATACTTATATATCATAATACAGTAATACACTTTGATGAAATTTTGCTTGTGGAAGTCCTGGAACAGGTCTATAGACTAGATTGCATGGAATCAAATATTCTCCCCATTTATGCAACATTAGTCTTCTCGGAATCGCCTTAGACTTTTGCTTAATTAAGATTCATTTTCAGCTCTTGCCCCAGTCAAACTTATAAGAAAAACTCCAAATAAGTATTTAATTTTTTTTTTTTTTTTTTTACATATTTTGCTTTCCATTTATTAATTTGTTATTGTAAATGAATTGGCCAAGGCACGCGCAGTGTTTTTATTTTCAAATAGGATTACCATTTGATGTTTTTTTTTTTTATTTAATTTTTTTTTTTTTTTTTTTTTTTCATAAAAAACAAGTGTTTGGGCCAACAAATTGAAATTGTGAACTAATCGCATTTGCCAACGAATCGCTTTACACAACAAACAAAAAATGATTTCTTTTTTTTCTGTACCTTTGCTTAGACATGAAAATTAAACTAAATTATTGTTAGCGAATTATAAACTAAAAAACATCTTAACACTAGAAGTATATTGCATATTATATAAAACTATCAATTAAATTTCTTTTACAATTTATTATAAAATATTTTTGTATATATATATATTTATAGATTTTTTTTGTTGTTTTCTCTTCGTTTCTTATAGAATTTTTCTGTTGAATATTTAAAAAAAAAAACAAGTTCTTCTTCTTCTAACATTGCTAGTTTTATAATATTTTAATATATCTATAGATATTTTTATGCATAGAATCTATACGATAGATACATTTTAGTTTGTTCTTCATTATTTCATTTTTGGGAGGGGGAAAGGGCGCGTAATACGTTCATAGATTGTAGAATGAGCAGTGATAAAAGAGTGATAGATATATATATATATGTGTGTATACAAATATATATCCATATGTATATTGTATATATAGTTTAGTTCAGAGCGCGCCCGCGGGCATAATATTTAAAATAGAGTTGTAGATTAGGCTTATAAGACCCGCTTATATCGCTAACTTGTTGCGATGCTGTGCGCCGATCGGTTCGTGTTGATCCGCGCACAGAAAACATTTCTTGTTTGTCAAGCTAAAGTTTCAAAGTGCCGCCAATGGAACGAACTATCCAGCCTGCTGAAATAGTTGCCATCGACAGAGCATTGTGAATTGGTCCAGGCTTAGTTAAATTCGCTTCTCCTATGAGTTTTTTGCATTCTTTCTTCAAGGCATTTATAGTGTGTAAGTGTGTAGGTGTGTGTGTGTCTGTGTGTAAATATGTTTAGTTCTTTTTGAGCACCAGGAAATTGGTTCAATTGCTTGTCAAAGTCTACATAAATTTAACATATATTCATATTATGTATACATATATATATATATATATATAGATAAATATTCATTACATTTGACACTAAGCGTTCAATATCATTCATAACTATTTTTGTATAATATTTATATATTTTATATATATATATATATCTCTTTATATATGTTTATGTACGTGTACTTGTGTAGTGTACAAGATCTTTAGTTAACAAAAAATCAAAAGTTTTGACTCATTTCATTTAAATTTATTCAGTTCATGCATTCAAGCATATATATGTATGTATGTATATGTGTAGTCCCTTTTCTAGCCAACCGTCTCTAATTTGTTATAAATATATATATATGTATATAGTTCGTCTTGCTGATGTGTGTTTTTGTCCTTTTTAATAACTCCTAATTGATGTATATATAAAATAATAAAAAAAAAAAAAACAAAAAAAATATGCCAGAAATTTAAATTGCTTTTCTTGTTTTTTGTTTTTTTGCTCAGTGCCTCAACTTGTTTTGTTATTCTCTTTTTTGGCAACAAATTCAACTAAAACACTAAATGAATATTTGTATATAAAAATTGTTGACTTAACAGCGCCGCTGTTAACACGCTGTTGGCACACTGCTAACGGCTGTTTAGGTGTGTGTGTGTGTATGTGCGTGCGGTTTGTTGTTTGTTTGTTTGTGACTATTTGACTAACAATGAAAATGATGGATTGATTGATTAATTGACTGACTGTTCGTGCTCAGACATAGACCGGTGCCTGGTCGTCCGTCATGTCCGGCTGTTGTCTGTCATCGAAAAATCGTCTAAAGGTAAATTCGAAAAATCCATGGAATTGCCTATCATTCAGATCGATATCATCGCCGCTGCTCAAATTGGAGTCATTCGAGCGCAGCTTGTCGGGATCAACTGGATCAAAGTTGGACGTGTCTGTGGGATGCTTTATTTCCGGTATATACGGCGCCTTCTGTTTGCGCATGTCCGCAAAATCAATGCCCCTGAAGAACTCATGCGACTTGACCTCTTCCACGCTGTTGCCCAGACGCCGATCCGCAGAGGCGCACAGCCGTCGTATTAGATCCGTGGCCTCGCGTGATAGGTTCGCCTGCGGTGGTATGTGTAGCGTCTTCTCCCAGTTAATAACCTGTAAATTGCATGACTGTTAGCTCTGCAGTTGTGGCACACTCAGCTACTCTCTACTCTCTACCTTCTGTTGCGTCTCCATGGAGGTATTGGCCAGAAATGGTGGTCGACCCACCAGCATCTCATAGAGTATAACACCCACGCTCCAGTAATCACACAACTGCGTGTAGCCGCTCCGTTCCAGCACCTCCGGCGCTATATAGTTGGGTGTGCCGACCAGCGAGTGCGCCAGGACTCTTTGGTGATCGCGCATGCGCCGCCTGTACAAAGGAATTAAGCAAGAAAAACTGTGAGAATGTGTCTTATGGGTGGTGAAATCAATGCTCCCACCTCTCCAGCACTGTGGGCTTGGTGCCATTCTCTGAAAAGTCCTCCCACGGCTCCATGGAGTCCTGTCGCGAGTGATTGCCTAAAAGCAGAGGATTACAATGAGTAACTGGAATGAGGATATGGAAGCTGAGGCTAACTACCATTCTCCTGATAGTATTTGGAGTTGTGCGTCCATCTGAATCCAGTGCAAAGACCGAAATCGGTGAGCTTTATATGGCCGTCCCGGTCGATGAGTATGTTGTCAGGCTTGATGTCCCTGGGAATGATGAATAGTTATAAAAATGATGTTGTATTGATGCTGTAGAATCTGTAGACTCTACACACCTATGAATGAAGCCCATTTTGTGCACACTGTCCACGGCACAGGTGACCTCGGCAATGTAGAAACGTGCCAGTGGCTCCTCGAAGATGCCCAGCTTGATCAGCAGCGACATCAGGTCGCCACCTGCGGATGAAGAATTCAATTCGATACAATCAACAATGTTGGCCTTGCCACGCAGAGCTTACCGGGTATGTAGTCCATAACGAAATATAAATTATCCTTATCCTGAAAACTATAGTAGAGCTTGACAACCCAATTGTTGTCGGCCTCGGCCAGAATATCACGTTCGGCTTTCACATGCGCCACCTGATTGCGCTTGAGGACGTCCGCCTTGCGCAGCGTCTTCATTGCATACAGATGATCCGAGGTGTCGATCTTGCGGACCAGCGTCACCTCACCGAAGGCGCCCACACCGATCGGCTTGATCTTGACGAACATGCTCTTGTCCATCTTGGCACGCTTGAGCCGAATGTAGTTGCTCTCCTTCTGGCTGAGCATCTTGCGCATCTCGATCTGTGTCTCGTCGGAGAGGCCCACCTTGAGCATCTCCTTTTCCAGCTGATTCTTCCGGAACGTGCGCTGGCGATAGGATTTGATCACATTCTCAATATGCTGTTCCATAAAGAATTTGAATGCCTGCGGCGAATATTGACGTATGCGAAACTCTTTGCGCTCCTCTTCCTTCTCCTTGGAGATCTTCTTGCGCTCGGGTATGGGCGAGGCATGCTTGATCTTCTTGCACGCGGCAGCTGCTGCTGCTCCCGTTGTCGTTGAGCCGTTGCTGCCACTCGAGCTGTTGCCATTGCCGCCGCTTCCGCCGTATTTGGCGGGCGGAATGGGCGGCGTTGTGGCTAAATTGCTATTGCTAATTTGTATGTTGTTGTTGTTGTTGTTTGTCGCTTTCAGTTCAGGCGTCAGGTTGACATTGCTACTGCTGCTGTGGTTATTGTTGTTGTTGTTATTGTTATTGCTGCTGGCCAACTCCGGCGTGGTAACGCGTGCGCTTTGATACGGCGGCGGCGGCGGCAGCTGCCGATTCACGTTGCCATTGCTGCTGACGGCCAGCGCCTGATGAAATAAATCAAAGACAGTTAGTAAAGGCGGGGAACATTTGAAACTACAGTGAACACTCTATGAGCGAACAACATAATACAGAAGCTGTTCGATTCAGGGAGAGTTCACTGTACACTAACGTACCTTCTGTTGCTGTTGTGCCTGCAGCTGTTGCTGCTGCTGCAACTGTTGCTGCTGCTGTTGCGCCTGCAGCACACGCAAAGCCTGCAACTGTTGTTGTTGTTGCTGCTGTTGCTGTTGTTGCTGCTGCTGCTGTTGTTGCTGCTGCTGTTGCTGCTGCTGCTGCTGCTGTGGCTGGGGCGTTGTGGCCGCCTTGGCCTGCATGCTCTTGGCATAGGAAGGTGGCTCCATGCAGACGGCTTTGCCCACCACGCCGCCATTCAGGGCGCTGGCCATTAGCGGCGGCGTTGTGGGCGTGGGCGGCTTCACGGCACCCGGCACCACCACCGTGGGCGTGGGCACCAGCAGTGGGGAGTGCTGCTGGGCAGCGGCGGCCGCTTGCTGCTGCTGCTGCACCACCGCCGGCGACTTTTGCGGATAGGAGGGCGGCGCGGCGAGCACGTGCACGGGCGAATTGCTGGCGGAGGCGCTGACCGGCGATTGGGGCGCCACGGCCGTCTGGAGCACCGGCTTCTGCACCTGCGTCGACTTGACGCTCTGCATGATGATCGGCTGCTGAGTGCGCGCCTGGTAGACGCGAGGCTGGGGCCGTGCCACGCCCGTCGCAGCGGGCAGGATGCCGCTGGCATTGCTCACCGTTATCGGACTGGGCGAGCCCGCCGAGGTGGCCGAGTAGATGCCGCTGCTGGGCGACTTGCGGTAGTCGGACTGCTGCGACTGCGTCGGCGACTGACGCGACTGCATCGAGGCGGTGTAGCTGGGCGGCGGCGGTGCGGCGCCCACCACCACCGTGTTCTTCAGGTAGGGCGGCGGCGGTTCGACGACGGCACCGCTGCCCGCGCCCGGATACATGTTGAGTGCCTTCATCTGCTGCGTCAGCTGCTGCTGCGCCTTGATAGCGCTCCCATTTTGCGGTATGACCGGCGAGGTGCCACGCGTCGTCGGACAGGTGGGCGTGATCGCCGCCGGCCGATTGAGAGCGGGCGAGCGCCGCTTGAACATCTGATTGGTGGGTGGCGGTGGCGGGGGAGTTGCTGAGCTGCCCAGGCCGGTGGGATTGCGTGGCGGTGGCGCCGGCGGCGCCGCATCACTGAAGCTGCTCGGTGAGGGCGAGTACTGCCCGGTGCTGGCGCGCCCGCTCAGCTGCTGGTGGGTGTGCGAGTGCGGGCTGTCCGACCGGGAGCTGCCGGCGCCGGAGTCGAGCGCCGGACTGCAGCGCAGATAGTGCGTCGGCGTGTCACGCTCGATGCTCGGCTTGCGTATCAGCTTGGGCGGTATCAGAGCGTTGATCATCTTTGGCACGTGCCCGTTGGCCGTGGGCATGGGCAGAGCGACGACGGCCACGGCGCCAGGTGGGGGAGGCACGACGACATCGGGCGAGGGAGACGCCGATGCCGATGGTGGCTCCAGTGGCAGCTTTGCGTGGTGGTAATCGGGCGCATCGTTGCGGCCATTGGTGGCGGTGTATCGCAGAGGTGTGTAATTCTGTAAATTGAAATCGATTAGTCAAATTGATCGATAGCTTAATATAAATATCTTAAATATCTAATGCTACTGTAAACATACATATAAACTATCGGTATATTATTTATCCTCTGACCTTGACTAACAACATAATAATAATTTGTCGATATTTGTATACATAAATTAGTTATACAAAATATATATCCCCTATTTACAAACGCTCATTTGAACGATAATTAAAATTTTTTTGTGTTACATATGTCCTAACCCCCCACATACTACACCACTGCCTAAGCAACATTCCTTCTCTGTGAGAAACTATATTTGTGTATAAATATAAATATACGTATAGGTGTGAGAGGCGGCTATGTGTGAGTGTGTGCCTGTGCTTGGTAGCAGTTCAAAAACTAAACAAAAGGCGCGCATACAAAATAAAAACAAAAAATGCGAACAGCGCCTAAAACAAAAGGCACAAGAAACGCGGCTGCCAAAGCAATGAAATCAAATTCTTGCCATCGTTCAGAAATTCCTAAAAGTCAGGAGCACACAAGCACAAACACATACTATATACATATACCCAGAGAGCAAACGAAAACAGATGCAAAGACAGAGAGTCAGAAAGAGCGAGAGAGCGCAATAATAGCAGCAAAGCGATCGCCGGCTGACAGATTGCAGCAAACAGACAACGGGGCAACCTTCAGTTAGAGCATATGCATGCTTCTGTATGCATGTGTGTGTGTGTTCTTCTTTTCTTTTTTTTCTGTTGCTGCTGCTGCTGTTGCTGGTGCTGCTACCCGTTTTACGCATTCTTTTGATGCTACTACATCATTTTGTTTCTTTTGTGTCTGATCCTCGCATTTTGACTTTGCCGTGCGACTGACTTTCCATGAGTGATGGCCATAAATATCGTGATAGCTGCGTGACATGAAATATGTGCAGAGTCACGCACGGTCATCAAATTGAATGTCAGTTCAAATGTTAGGCCAATGCTGTTAACGTTAATGAATAAACGTAAAAGCAAATCAAGTAGAGCATCAGCTACAATAACACTTGCAATTAATTATGCATTTTTATATTTTGTATTTTTCAACAATATATACTACGCATCTCTAGCAGAGATACATACATGTATCTATGTATGTGTGTATGTGTGTATGTACGTGTATGCAGATGTATTAACCCTCAAGTGGGCGAGCGTTTGATGTGCGGCCAGACTAATTAAAACCAAGGACGCGAAACCCAACAAAAGCGACCCCCAGCAGACAAGCTGACGCGTTTGTAGCTCGCTCACTCATTCGCTCGTTCGCTCGCCTGATCCGGATCCGTTCCGCCTTACAAGCAAACCAATTGATGGCGAATTAACCAAAGAGCCAATGGGCACACTAAATCAGCTGAACCGTTAGAACCCGTGTCACGACAAATTTTCAAATTAAAATAAATTGGATTTGCGGTAGGTGGGAAAAGCAAACACTTTCGCTAATCCACTTAAGCGACCGAGCAATGCAATCGCCAATTACCAATTAGCCAATACGTAAGCCCCCAGACACTTAACGCCTTGACCGAAATCACTTTGAACCTGACAATATACGTATAAGTATATACAAATATACATATTTTATATATTCTCCAACAGAAATCGATGAGAAATGTGAACAAATTTTTGGTTGGGCTTTTCTTGGCCCAAACACACAAACATAATTTGGCCATAAGATACATCAAAATTCTTGGCAAATGGCAAAAATACGTATAAGAATACACATACATATACACACATATATATTTACTATATATCATAGTGGATTTGTATGTAAATATTTGCCCATAATACTCGCATATTTATTTTTTGGGGAATGCTAAAAGATTCGTTTTGTGTCTTGCTGTCTTTTGTTATTATTAGAGACGGGCCATGTTAATTTCGGACTTTGCTGAAGATGATATATGTATATTTATTTAGGTAAAAATTCCTGGGAAAATCGCGACATAACGTGCAACAAACAACAACAACAAAAATGCTCGCCGAAAATTAAATGAAAATCGCACACTGGGGAACGCACAAATGTTCAAAAATAAACCCAAATAGCGCTCCCTATTGGGGAATTCTGATGAATTCGTTAATTACGATGCCAATTAGAAGAGATCTATATCTAAATACATTAGAAAAGAAACGTATTTTGACATATACATTCATTTTGATCGTAATATAAGATTTGAAATGGGAATTTATTACAATTTAAAAGAAATGGCTATGCTTCAATCAGATGTAAGATTTAAGAACTTTATACTATTTCTTAAAGAACTTTCATTAATACATACATATATTCTAGTATAAGAAGCATAACAATATTTTAGGTAGGTAGACTTATATTAAGGCATATATTAATCAATAGATAATACCCCATTAATAACTAGCTCTATTTATGTGTAGTCCATAGTATTGCACCATATTTGCTTGACAAATACAGAGCACACGATTTATCTTGCTTAGAGATATGAAAAATATATTTTGAGCAACTGACCTTTATTATCTAACTGTGCGCATACTTTTTGCTGTAGCTGTGTGCGAGTTATAAATAGCTTTTAAGGTATATGACAACCAATTAGAGCTTATAGCTGGATTACACATGTATGCGTGTACCTACAGACAGCGTGGTGTATATATGTGAATGTATGTGTGTGTGTATTTTGATAAGCCTATAGCTCACAATGTCCATTGAAAGAGTGAAAGAGATAGAGGGAGTGGAAGGGAGAGAGGAAGGGGAAGCTATGCATTGTTCGATTTGATTGCCTTTGCGTGTTGACTAATTTATTTATGCATATTTTTTTTGTGGCTGTCGCTCTCTCATTTATTTATTTTTTAATTTTTATAATGCCATTTAGCCCACTGTCGTCGTTGGACGTTGGCGTTAGCTGTTAAATATATTTCGAACGTTTTGTTATTTTAATTAGTTCTACGTAAGGTTTCTCAAATATTTCTGTGTGATTTTGTTTATTTGATATTTTCTTCTTCTTCTACTTCTTTTTGCCTTGATATGGTCGGAATTCGTATTTGCCGACTGGCTGCTGAGGTTCGTGTCTAGGCTAGGCTACGCTAGACTATTATACGCTTCGATATTTATAGCATTTGTCAAAATCGTTTTATGGTAGCTGCCGTTGTTGCTGCCCGTCCATAAGCGGCAGCGGTCGGTGCGTGGGCCGAAAAGTGTTGATCGAGCCATGAATAAATTGTGTTTATTTATCGTGTTCGAACGCCCCCATACATATATGGCCCGAAGCCGGGGGCGTGGCAGCAGCTCAGCATATATGAGCAGCTTATGGTCTGGTATTTAGTACGCAGCATGACTAATTAGCCAAAAAGCCACGTGGCTGCCGGCGAAAGCTGGCCGAAAGGAAAACTGTGAAAAAATATGAAGATGCCCAGTGGAAAACGTGCTGCAGCCTGCAGCCGCACATGGCAACTGTCAATAGACCTGGTCATAACAATTTGCCGCAACCCGTCAGCAGGCAACACTTTTTTTTTTGTTTTTCTTGCGTTCTCAAAACCTGCAACTCCTGCTTGAGTACGATTCTTGGTAGAACGGCTTAGCCGCAGGAATGTTTGGCTAATCGCTTGGATCGAGCGTTCGATCATAATTTACAATCGCACAAAACAGTAGCTGGCAGTGGAATCGTAAAATTTTAAATTAATGACCCGTCAGATCATATTTAAGCTTTTTTATGACTTGCGGCCAGTTGCTGCCACTGCCACTGCCACTGTCGCTGTCGCTGCTTCTGCCTGTGCCCCGACTGTGAGTGAGGTTGCACTTCAGGCTGGGGGCGAAACAATTGATAAACCAAACCAAACCAAAGAGCGAACATAGTTTATAAATGACTATTCGCCAAGTTGTATTGGCAAATTGTTCACAGAGTTATTTTATGCAGTGGGATTGGGCAACAAATGCAGCTCACTCCCTCACTCCCTTGGTCCAGCAACAGCCTTGCTCTCGCGCGCGCTCTTTCTAACGCTTATTCTCCTTGCGCAGATTCGCTTTGTGCTCATTCTTTCAGCAATGCTTTTTCGAACTTTTGACAGCTGTGACGTCAATGCTTAATATCCAGGCCGATCGCTTGCACACAAACACACGCACTCAAGGCAAAGGCACGCATTTACTCACGCATAGCAAGAGATCGAGAGAGTGACAGGGAGAGAGAGCGCGCGCTGGACATTTTGTCTGGCAACGCAAGCCGCCCACTCAGCTATCATACGTATAACAGTTGTGTGCATGTGCGTGTGGGTGTGTTTGTGGAATGGCAGAAGGTCAATTGCATTTCGTTGGCAGTTCATTAATTTCATTTCAAGCTCTGTGCAGTTATTTTTAGCGCAAACAAACATACGCACAGAGCACATCCACACAATAGTATACACCCACAAATTTTCTATTCACTTCGGCTCTGTGACTAACATTTTATCTTTTGGCCAGTCTGATTGCCAACTCCTGTCGCCCACTTGCAAGCCGCAACAGCAGCAGCCGCAACTGTGACAAATGTCTTGGCCAACATTGATGTATTATTACCGTATTTTATATGGCCGCTGGCACAGGTGAGCATCACGCTGCGGCTCGTGCCATCAGCTGAACATGTTTTTATAAAGCGCCCACGCAGCAGCCACAACAAAGTTGTTGTTCTGTTGTTTTCGTATTTTGTTTTATTGTTGTTATTCGTTTTCATTGCGCGTCGTCTGAAATGCGGTTTATCTAGCTGTTAATTTTTTATTAGTGTCGTGTTTTCGGTCTCTTCTCTGTTCTTATTCTATTCTACGCATGAAAAATGTTGCCGCATCATTTGTAAAGCACTAAAACAAACCGATAACCGGCAAAGGGCGCAGGAGAGTTGCATGGAGGGGGAAGCGAGAGCGAGACTCATGTTGTGTTCACTTTACGAATTCCCGTTATTTCCCATTTAGTATTTTCTGTAACATTGCATATTTAGCTGCGTTAAGTTTGACTTTATCTCTAACTGCTGCAGAGTGAATCATCAATGGACTTTTATGCTTCAATCAGTGGCAGTGTTTACTGCAACTTTAAAGTGTGTTTACATTTCAAGAAATTCCCCTGATACCATTTTTATTGAGTCGGACAACCTCTGATTATTGTATTAGTAATTTTTTTTTTATTTTTTTTATTTTTTTTATTTTTTTTATCAATTTAATGCCGTGATTATATATTCTAATCTTTAATAAACTGTTCGATTATTTTCGGCTTTGTTCATTGATTAAATTAAACTTTTTACGCAATTTATAGACTTTAAGATTAAGGCATGTGAGCAAGCAGTTTAGTTTACTCTCCATTATTTAGTTCCTCTCAGAATTGTACCGGAAAAAGATTTTCAAAGAATATCAGCAAGAGGAGACAGTGAGAGAGTCTTTAAGCGTGAATCTAATTGGAATCTAACTAGAGCAGTGGTTAAAAATATAGTTTTTCTGCAAAAGTCTAAATAAATTCCTAGATACATATGTATATACATGTATGTCTTTATTTACTATGTCTGTGTACTAACTATTCTATTATCTACATATATCTTAATACACTTATCTACTTTACTTATTTTGATCATTTCATTTAGTTCGCTTACCTGATTATTTCTATGATTATTTTGTACTTCGAATCGTGTTAGATCCTGTTTAATGCTCTCGAGCGCTTCTGCTGTGTATTTATCATTGGGGCGACCGCCCCTTTTTTCGCCCGCTGGATGCATTATGCTGCTGCTTCTTCTCTTTGTGATATTTAGCACTCATATCACAAAATGCTCCTGCTCACTCTCAAACGCGCACAACACGGACACACACACACGCACGAGCGCACTCACTCACTCACTCGTACTCACACTCACACACACACGCACTTAGCAAGACGCAGAAGCGCTCACTAAACAGCAGCAGCAGCAGCAGCACAGCTATTTAATTTAAATAAATGCTTTATGCTTATTTCTGTGTGCGTGTGTGTGTGAGAGAGAGAAGAAGCTTTTATTTCGTTGCCTCTTCTTCAGTTCTTTTAGGTGGTTTTGTGGCCGTTGTTGATGGTGTTGTTGTTGTTCCTATTTGCTTTTGTTGTGGTTTGTAGTTTTATTGTTGCTTTGATATTGAGGCACTTTTTTTCGCTTTTGTATTTGAAACGTGTGTTGACTCTTTATAATGAACTACTTACTAGTCGCGGCTTAAGGTAAGTATGCGTCTATTAAGCTTTATGATGGTTTTATTGTCGTTGTTTTTGTTTCGCGATCGTTTCGTAGTTTGTTTTTGTTATTATTTCTTATTTCACTGTTGTGTTTGTTTTTGTTATTGCTGTTTCTCACCACTCGCTAAATTCTTCACTAAGGCACTTCATTTGCATTATAATAAAAACATTTTTCTTTTTGCTTGCTTGCTGCACAAATTCATTTTGCATGTAAATATATTCACAGATCTCTGTGCTTTGTTGTTGTTGTTGTTGTTGTTAAGTCTTCATTTTGTATCACATTTTTTGCTGCTGCCCTTTTTATTCATTTCGTTTCATTATCATTTTGTTTTATCACAAATTCTGGCATCATCATCATCACGATCATCATCATCATTGGCAATACAATTAATATTTTAGGCGGGCACTGGAAGTCACTCGATGAATGAATTTGAATATTTGAATATTAAATATGTATGTATGTGTGTGTGCGTATGCACATAGATACACACATACGCAGGTATATTGGCTGATGTAGATTCTGATTTGATTTAGCCGAGGCAGAGTACAACACACGGCTTGACGGAATTTTAATTAATAATATACACGATCGATGTCGCCAACTTGCTGAAAATAGACACAAAGCAGACGAAACAAAATAACTAAAACTGAGAAGGAAAACCAACGTAAAGGTGCTTCCAGCATGCGTGCTCAGCTGGTAGATACCCTATATAATTATTGATTTTTCAATTGTATTCCATATTATGAGGCTTAATTTTTCCTAGAAGTTATGCCAAATATACAAATAAATGTGTATATTTTCACCTTTAATTTCAAATATATATTCTAAATTTATGTCACACTTTATCTATATATTCATGCAGAATTCAATCCTAGCCTATATTTTCAATAAAAATGCGGTTCACTCTACCTCTCCTTCCACATACATACATATATATTCATTCATGCCCATACTAACAAAATGATATTTACAGGGTATCCACAAAAAATTGTCACACGCTACGCAGATGCGACGCGTTTTAAAGGCAACGAAACAGCTCCATCACTCATGCACATACAAACACTAACACACACACATAGTTACTCACGCAGCGGACATTTACATGCCGCAGACGTGAGTCAGAAGAGAGACACGCAGTCAGTCGACAAAGCTTTCTGTTAAACATGTTACAGTTCTTTTTTTAGAGGGCATTAAACACAATGGAATTGGCAGCACTTGTCATATTGGAATGATTCGCACGCTTGGCAAAGGTGACTGTTGAAGTGGAAGCTTGGAAAGTCGGCTCATGATCATAATATATGCATCGAGTGGCGCATTATGTCATAATCGTATTCCAGGAAGCCTATAAATTCCCTAAAAATCTTTTATGACGAACCATCAAATTCACACACTATCAAATTGACGAATTACCCAAGTCTGTGGGGGACAAGGGCACGACAGGGATTGGCGTGCGCACCTGACTATGGAAACGAGCTGACCACTGATAAACAAAGACATGCATACGTATTTATGTATGTACATACATACAGATATACATTCACACAGCTACACAAATATGTAAACAAACAGACGTAATTGCCGAAAAAATTTCGGCAAACTGTGCCAAGTGCAAATGAGTAAACCTACTAAAAGCCATTGCTGCTCTGTTTGTTTGTATGTAAATTAACACTGTATTTTAACATAGATAAATTCTGTGAAATATGTAAGGATGTAGTCTTATACTGTTGATAGTAAATTCCTAACAGCAATAATAATTTAGTCATTGTCCCAGAATATGTATGTAAATGAGCTACGGCTGGAGTTAACAGTGGACTATGTAAATGGGTACTAATGTTGGGAGAATTTCCTGTTGTTGTTTGCTTCCCTTTCGATGCTTTTTTAAGGTGAATTTTATAATTATGGGTATTTTAGAGGATTTTTTTAATGGTCTGATTAGATTGTTATTCCATTTAATGAAATTCGCATTAAAGCTGTTGGAATGCAAAAATAAAGCTCCCAAGAAAAAAGTTATGTATGTATGTATATAAATATATCACAGAAAATGTCGTTTCATAAATTTCGCTAGTGTACATATTTTGCACTGTCTAAAGAGTTTAATTATTTTGTTGACAAAAGTTAACTTTTGCGCCTTGTTTTGTTGACGCTACGCATTTTGCTATAGTGCTGTGGAATGTTGAATTTAGAGACTTTGGATGTACATAGGCATATGTGTATGTACATATGTACATATATAACTAGCTAGCTATACTCTAAGATAAGCGAGACTGAAGGTGCTTGGGATAATAAACAAACACGCGCCAAATTCAAATGTCAACAGCGTCTGCCCCCAGAGCCAAGAGCCACGGCCCCTTTCCGAGCAACTTTTGCGAGCTTTTTGCCTATTTGGGAAATTTTCACATTCCATACATACCGAAAAATAAAATGAGTGAAACAGATATAAATATATCCAATAACTAATTAACAATACAAATAAACTGAAGCAAATGCACACACACATACCCACACTCATAGACAATTGTGAGCGCGTAAAATGTGTGTGTGCGCGAGTGAGTAAGAGAGGGATTTTTGATGCGTTATTAAGCGGCTCGTTGAATGCGATGCTATTGGAATTTTTAATTGTTTAATTGCGGCCAAATTTTTGCTTGCCTGACTTGAAAGACAATCTGCCGCATTTGCGACATTTTTATAAGCTATTATGAGCATTAGGCATTCAAAGGTAATACAGAAATCACAGCAAACCAACAACGACTAGCGAAAAGAGAGCAGCAGCAATATTCATGCACACATATGTATATGTAGACAGTGCTGTGTCAAGTAGTTTGTCACATTTTTACAGCACTGCTGTTGATTACATGGCCTCTGTTAAGTTGTATGTTAATAACGCATGTAAGAGCCTATTTTTAGTTAGTTTCTCTATTGCCCAAACGTCCACTAAAAACTATCGTAAAATGCGTAAGATGGTGCGACTATGTGTGTGTGCGTGTGTTTCTGTGTGGGGGGAGTCGCGTGCGCATGTAAAAAGCATAAGAAATTGGCCATCAAAATGCAAGGCAAGTGGAAAAGCAAATAAAATACATAACAGAAATGCCAGTCGCAGGCCACAGCTAAGAGTCGAAGAGAGTATGAGAGCAAGTTGTCTCTCCCTCTCCCTCTCTCTCTCACACTCACACACACACACACACAGATGCAGACGTGCTCTCGCTCACTCGCTCGCTCGGTTGCTCGCCTTGCTGGGCAGAATATAAAAATAGTATTAGTTGCTGATTATTATTGCAAAAATGCGCATTCCTCGGCGACTTATCCCCACAAGGCGGCTGCTGCTGCTGCTCCACTCTCTGTGTTTTCGTTTCGTTTTCCCTTTTTTCATACACTCACACACACACAATGTATATGTAAGTGTGTGTGCAGTTGCAACAGGCATGTTTCAAAATGTGCGGAAAAGAGAAGAAAAGAAAAAAATTGAAGCAAGAAGCAAGAAAAACGAGCTAAATTGCATTTTCGTCGTCGTCGTCGTCGTCGCCGTCGATTGGAACATGCAGCAGCCAGCGACGACGACGACGACGACGTCGCCAACAGTGGCGCGCTGCTAGGGGGGTTGCGCTCAAACTCTCTATGCGCTGCCATCAATGGCCAAACGCCCACCCCTTCGCCCTAGCCAACACAAACTAGACGCAGAAGCAAACTGGGCCCCGGCTTGACTTGGCCTGGCCAGGCCTGTTCACTTTTTTTTATCGTTCATTTACTTTTAAAAAGCAGCAGCAACAGCTCCAACAACAACAACAGCAGCAGATCACTGTATTTATTGCCTTGCTCATGCCTGGACTCTGTGTATGTGTGTGTGTTTTTGGAATGCACACAAGCACATAGACAACGCCTCACCTGTTTAGTCGCTGCCTGCAGGCGGAGCAGCCCACAACAACAACAACAACAACAACAGCAGCAGCAGCCATACACACACACACACATACTATAATCCACTACGAATTGCATGGTGGAATGTGAATGGAATCTCAACAATTTTCAGCGTCGCTGGCGTTGACGCCGTCGACGTCGCCGCTGCTGTTGACGTTGTTTGGCGCAACTTTTTGCACGTCAAATCAAAATAAAAATATAAATAATAAAAAATTCAAAATAAATCACGTAAAAAAAAAAAAAATTACAATGTGATGCACGCAAATGAATGTAAAGCTATGCAAATACATTGGTGTATGTATGTATGTAACATAGTTGACAAAGCCAAAATATACATACATACATCCTCACATATATAATATGTACATAGTATATCAAGCTGCTTGAGAAATTATTGTCGTACTGACATTGACGCTCATCTCTAAGCAGAAGCAGCAGCAGCAGCAGCAGCAGCAGAGATGCAGGCAGCGACAGAGATCGAAGCAGCGGCAGCGCAGCAGCTGCCTCTAATTACAAGAGCGCCCGCAGTTGTTACTATTGTCTTAGTTGTTGTTGCAGTTACTTGTGCCACATTTTGCATCTCTCATATTTACATTTACACTGCACACGCGTTGTTCTTGATGTTGTCGCTATTTTATCTTTCTTCTTTAGAGTTTTCATTTTGCACAAACAAAAACAAAGTCAAACAAGTCCAAATACGGTCACACTGTATTTCAAATATGAATATAGAGATGGCACACATACAGACATTTGTAACAAGCGAAAAATAGATCGATAAATTTACATACTATTCTTTTATTAATAAGCAACTTTAAATACAATTTGTTTACATCTTTAATTTAATTTCACATTATTCTTCTTCGTGAACGATCACTGTATGTGTGCAGAAAAAATACTATGTACTCTGCCTACTTTTGATAATTCGTTTTATTTGCGCTAATAGATAAGATTTTGCAACAATTTTTGTTTACATTTTTGCATTAAAAATTTGTTTATTCTTTGTTCTGTACGTAGATCGCATTTCGCGTTCAACGTACAAACAGATTCACCTGGCTATTACTGCGAAGGCCAGTGATACATATGATGATATTGGATGACAGTAAACTAATTGTTTTGACAGATTGTTTGTCTGTCTTTTTTCTTTATATTTATGTACACCGTTTATGCAGAAATAACGGAATAAACAGTTGCTTAATTGCTTTGAAATTCAACCGTTTATATTAATGGGTTCTTTACATCTGTTATTTAAAGTATTTCGTATTCCTTATTAGACAATTATATGCCTTCAAATAAATTTCGGTATTGCAAATTATTTTC